ACGCGAGCTTAAAAGTGCCGTGAGGAGGTTTCTGAAGGTGGTCTAAGTACTGCGATAACTCCCTTTACTGGCTCCAAGCATCCTAGAAATCTCTAAATCATGACGATACGAAGCCTATTTTCCGTTTCAAAAAAACACTCAAGGATCGCAACACACCGAGGACATCAACGGCGATGGAAGGAGCATGTTACGAAACCAGAACCACTGTCAGCCAATTGAAAGCGAAGGATCCTCGCGCCTCCAACCGGTGGAACTGCGGAGTGATATATCGAATGCGCGCAGCTTGTTGCCCATACAGCCCGGGCTACAATTCAACCCAGCGAGCACGCGCCCGAACGCTCGAGAGCTGCCGACCGGACACATCACTCCCGCGGAAGACAAAAAACAAACAAAAAAACATAGTGCGCTGTTTTTCAGACGACTTTTGCATTATTACGCTCCCTCTCTGCGAAAAATTAACATTTTTCGACTACTCTTATTTGCTTTTATCATCTGCAAAATCATACACATTTTGTAATAACAGCGTTTGCAATCTCAACGAAATGTCGCGTTTTTGTTGGTCATGTGTCGTCCGGGCTGCCGGAACAATGCTCCTCCCATCGCCGGAGATATCCTCAGTAAATTCGATCTTTGAGTTTTTTTTGTTTCTTTTTTTAATAGGCGAATTGGCCGCGGTTCGTTATGATTTATAAATTTCTAGGATACTTAGAGCCCGCATAGTGAGTTATCGCCATATTTAGGGAAGCTCAGAAACCTCCTCAGGGCACGTTTAAGGCCCGTGCGCACACTTCCAACCGAGTAGGACAGACTGAGACAAGATCGTTTTTTAAGCCTTTTGCTTCGGCTTAGGACCACACGCGCTGCTGCGGAGCTGAAGCCATTGCAAAAGGCTTAAAAACTGGTTTTGTCTCAAGCGGTCCTACTCGGTTGCAAGTGTGTGAGCCCTTACTGCCCGATCGCGCCAAAAAATACTGTTTTTCCATCAAAACTGTCATGCGCTCAATAAAACAGGTTAGCTGGACACAAACAAAATAAAACCGATAGTATTTCAAGTAATTTCAGCTACATGTCGTCTGCTTTTGGAACGACTTGGCAGTAATCTTTCGGCCAAAGCTGCTGCCGCCATCTGTCGGTTGTTGCGTCAGTCGAAGGACGCCTGGATAGCAGACGACCGCCGTAGGCAAAGAAATCAGTTACTTCTTTCTAGAATGGAAAGTTGGGCGAGTTGGTATGAATTCATTTTGAAAAACAGCGCGAATACCACACGGACAAGAAGGAGGAACACACAGGAATACCACACGGACAAGAAGGAGGAACACACAGGACGCCTCGTCCTGTGTGTTCCTCCTTCTTGTCCGTGTGGTATTCGCGCTGTTTTTCAAAATGAATTACTTCTTTCTTTTTTTTACTTTTTATTTAGGTAATTTCGTTTTTACAAAATTTGATGCGATGCTTCTACTACCTTTCGGCACCTCTGTGGAAAATCGCAGCACTATACTACAGTGGCTTAAAGGGGGTAGCGTAACGAACGAAACCGGAGAAGCGGCACAGTGTTGGAAGACGGCCGCGGGTGGCGCTGGCGCTTGGAGCACCGTCGTTCCGGCTATGGCTCCGGCTTGGCCGCTTGCTCCGCTCGGCTCCGGCCAGCTCCGGCCGATTCGCGCAGCTGTCGACTACACTGTCGTCTGCTAGTTTCACCATTTTATTCACCTTCAAACACAAATTATGTCGTTTGAAGTTCACTGGAAACAGGTAATTGTTTTTAAGTTATTTATATCAGTTATGAAGCGTGTTAGGGTGCCTCTATCTGCAGGCCGATTGAGGCACCCTAACGGAGCTGCGTATCGAAGCGCCACCTACACCGACTTCCAAGGGATGGCCGTTCCCGATGCATGGTAGAGGCTGGGTGGTAACTACACTATCCCCTTTAAGTCACTGTAACTATACGTTACCAAGCTGAAATATGCGCTAACTTTAAAGACATGCCCCGGGTTCGTGGACACGCTGTATATAGTGTGTCCGACTCCGAACGGCCGAGAATTACCGCGGGACGACATCCACCAGTGACAGTGATCGAAGACATCGATATTTGAAGGATTTTCTGTTCTCCATTTTACTGTATTGATCTTCGTTCACTGACGAAGCAGCTAGGCCTAACCGGGAAGATGAGACTGTCGCTATTACAGGGATTTACGCCCGTGTATAGACTGGCTCTCTCTCCGCGTTCCGTGTAATTTCCACTTTGATTGTTAACATGGTTAGCGTCCAAATGCACTGCTTCCGTTTTTGATTTCGTGACGCCCGAGAAATTAATACTGCCCTTAAGATGTTACTGACATTTTAAGGAACGCCTGGCGCCTCGTGATCCAAAAATGCCGGAGGTCGTGCATAGGCAAACGTGGGACGACGGTGACTTATTTGCCCCGACACGAGATTGAACCTCTGAGCTCAATATTAACCACCCCGTTCAGTACTGCACTCTACAAACAATTGTATGGCAAATTGATGAGCAGCTCTGTTGCACACGTGAAACGTTCTACCATCACGTGACATCAGGTTACTTGACGTCAATTTCCCCGTTAAATTTAGCGGGGCAACTGAATTGCTGTGTAGGTCACGTGACGTTAAAGGGCCCACGAAACAATTTTAACATCGAAAGATTAACGTGCACCTTATTACCCTTTTTTGTTTACTTTAGCACAAGGACCATAAAACACGACCACTTCTCTCGAAATGTCGCGAATGCGCTGCGTGACCACAAAAACAAAAAGGAACTATTTCTTGAATTGACTTCACGTACAGCGGCCATAGGAACTAACTTTGTGACGTCACGGCGGGTGCGGTTATTGAGATCGCTTTTGAACAAGTATATTATCAGTTTAATGGTAACGTTTAGAAATGATTTAGTTCCAACATAAACAAATGAATCGAAAGTTTTATATTCTTGTTCAGTACACGAAGTTTTCGCAGCGCCATCTATTCGGAGTAAGTCAAAGCATCCCCTCCCTGCTGCTCCGCTGCCTAGCAACGTTGGCTGGCTGCTACCGGACGAGCGGTGTGATCAACGCGATTTAAAAACCACGTTTCGGCAGCTGCGTGGTTCGTTTCCTTTCTCGTGCGCCTGGTTCGCCTGCCTGCAACTATACTCCGTTTCACCTTATGTTGTACCGCAGCGAAGGCTAGAAGCGCGAGCTCATAGCGTTGGCAGCTGCCCTTGGTGCACGAGAGCTTGTGCCGCCGAAGTGTGCCATGGAGCAAGGAGCTCGCGCTTGTAGCCTTTCCTGCGGTACAACACAAGGTGAAACAGAGTACAGGAAGTATTCACTGGCGGCCATAGCTGTGTGCGCGACTGCTGAGCGCGTGCTGATGGCTAGCTTCCAGGGTTATTTGCAATGTGCATTCCACACCGTCAAAATGGCCGGTCTTAGCAGCCTATTAATGGGAAGAGAGGGGAGAATCTGCTCTCGCTGTAGCAACGTCCACAGTGCTAAGGAAAGGACAAGACCGGCGTGCCCCGCGGCGCGTCATGCGCACGTAACCCGGGAAACATTGTATGAGCTGAGGGGCATCCCTAAACGCCATCTTATTTGGCCGGAAGTCCGAAAATCGTTTCATGGGTCCTTCGATTTTAGCGCTAAATTTAGAGGACAAACTAAATTGCAGTGTATGTCACGTGATATAAGGTCACGTGATATTTAGCGGGGTAATTAAAGGTTTTCCCCGCTAAATTAAGCGGGGTAATTGACGTCACGTGACCAGATGTCACGTCACCTATACACCAGTTCAACTTCCCCTCTAAATTTGGCAGAGAAAGGGAATTGGTGTGTCGGTGTGTGACAACACTGCGTGCGTTGCATTATGGGACGTCACAGGCCACGGCTTCATGAACTCCAGAGCAACTAGCCAACAAACGCTTCACGGTGAAACTGCAGCGTCTACTTTCCCACAAAGCACTCGGGGGATTTAATCGCCACAATCTACAGATGGAGGTCGGCAAGTGACGAGGCTGATATAACGTCCAGACCTATCAAAAACAGTTTCCGCTGTGGCGCGGAACATGGCTTAACGTCATTCTTAGGGCCACAGCGCAAATTGTAGCGATTGGCTCTTTCCGAGTGCTTCGCGGGAACCTATAAGTACATCTAACACAATCCAAATTTGTTAAGTTTGTGACCAAAGCAAAAAGTGCTTTGCCAGAAGTCCGTCTCGTGTCCCACGAGATATCAAGCAAAACTACTCGCAGCCGAGTGAGTCGCTTGCGAGATGAGCCGCTCGACAGCTCATCATGTCAGTTATCGCCCGATATGACGCCTGCTTTGATTTGATATCTGTTTAGCGAAGATGTCTATATGAAGATCGGCGGAGAAAATGACCCGCCAGATTTTGGGGTAAGTCCTCCTCGTGGGACGCAGACATGGTTGTTTCTCGAGCACATCTTCCTTGATATTAGAAGGTGCAAGTGAAGTCGTTTACGCAATAATTTTATGTAAACAAAAATAATTAAATTGCATATTAACTCTTTTTGACTATACTAGTGCAGCTTTAGTAAATATATTTATTCTTGAAATTCAAGTAGATCTTTAAGTACACTGCACGTTTTAATTAGCAAAAAGACCACATCGAGGAATTCTTGTCTTTAGCCCCAACAGAGTATTCAGACAACCACATTTTACCGCTCAAGGTATTTTTTTAATAGCCCCTGCAAAGAGAGCACCAGTTTTGAGGACCATCGAGGAAGTCTATGAAATCAGTAGGAAACAACAGACATAGCTTGTTCACACTAACACTGTAGCACTGAATACAATATCAAGCCTCACGCTTACTGCCGTGCACGCGCGATTGCCTAGAAAAGTTATGCACCAATAAACAAGTAAAGCACGACATCAGACGTTTTTCCATTCGAAACAAACATTCAGTTGCAATAAAATAACTGCGATACTTAAATGCTACAAAAAAGTGCAACTGTCAATTTCAACGCGTCCACAGTGTTCAAAATAATGATGGTCTCACACTTCAGCGCAGTTAAACACAACTCCCGCTTCAAGAGCGATAGCATAGAACAATGACCTCTTATCATCCAGGAGTTTTGACGGACTACCGACTTCAACAACTCTTCCTTGATCCATCACAGCAACGCGATCGGACGCCAGAACACTGTGAAGACGATGAGCAATTGTCAACACTGTGCACCCACTCATCACATCTCTCAGCGTCTGCTGAACGAGCAAATCCGTCTTCGTGTCCACTGATGCGGTGGCTTCGTCAAGGACGAGTATTTTTGTCTTTCTCAACACAGCCCTCGCGAGACAGACCAGCTGCCTCTGGCCCACGCTGAGGTTAAGTCCGCCCTCTGCAATTTCGAAGTCAAGACCATCACCTACCCTGAAAAAATCGCCAAGGTGAGATTTGTCTAGTGCTGACCAGAGGTCTTCAGTATCGTGCTGTCCGGCCGGGTCAAGGTTGAATCGTAAAGTGCCGTGAAATAGAATTGGGTCCTGTGGTATGATGGTTATCCTGGAGCGGAGTTCGTGTAACCCTAAGGTAGCAATGTCTACGTCATCCACCAGGATCTTGCCTGCTGCCGCCTCAATAATACGAAAAAGGCTTAGGGTTAGTGTTGATTTACCTGCCCCTGTTCGTCCTACAATTCCAATCTTCTCGCCGGGGTGCACGTCGAGATGAACGCTCTTCAAAACCAGGTCTAATTCATCTCGATATCGAGTCGAGTAAGACTTGAAGGACACCGCACCAGACCGAGGCCAACAAGGGTCCGGACTAAAATCTGACGTCCAGGGTGCTTCGGGAGTCAAACGCCTGTATTCATCCAGTCGTTCGGCAGATATCAATGTCGCTTCTAGTTCCGTTGAGTAAAACATCATATAGATGATCGGGCTCATTGCGCCCAGCATGTAGGACACCAGAAGGCCCGTTGTTCCAGGATCAATCTTGTCGCGGTTGGTAACAACCAGAAGGAGCATCGAGCCCACAAGAGCTTCACAAGCCAGGTCCATCCAGATTTCTATCCAGTATTCGAAATAAAGGCCGTTCATAGTACATTTCTGCATGGTGTCCAGTTTTTCGTCGTTGTCACGTAAATATATACCCTGAACACCATAACCCCTGATGCTGCTCAAACCCGTCACGGTTTCCGAAAAATGATGGTTGACTGGAGAACGCGTCACCGCTTCTAATCTTTTCATTTGGCGAAATGGGACCACGTACGTTTGACGTAAAACAATCAGAACCACGGTAACCGGAATGACGATCAAAATGTAAGTGGGAATATATATGCATATAAGAATGACCGATGACACAAACAGTAACAGAAAATCGAGAGTAAACTGAGCTGCGGTTGGAAGTTGCACATCCATCTCGTCTACGTCTTTACCGAAGCGGTTTAATAAGCGCCCAGAAGGATTAGCATCAAAAAATGTCAAAGGTGCTCTCATCACACCTTCGAGCCCCAACTGGAAAAGAGTTGTGGAGGTTGAGAGCACTACTTTCCACAATAACGCGACAGCAATAAAATTAGCAACAGCCATAGAAATACAAAGAACTGAGTAAACCTCGATTCTGTAGGCGCGCAGAGATATGCCCTGTGTACCTCCTGGAACGAGTGAATCGTTGCTCCATTCGCTCAGCCAGATCCCCATGTACACACCGACTGCTCTGTAGATGGCATAAAACAAAATAACCACAATCAGCATAGATCCAGCGTGCCTTATGTAGGTTCGATATATTTGGGGGCTGATTGAACCCTCTTCCATTGTCTCTTTCTCCACAAGGGTGATATTCAGCTTATCTTTCTCAAGTTTGGACTCCTTACTTGTGTCTGTAAAAACGTCCCTGTCCTCATTCATTTCTCCAACCATACTGGAAACGTTTTTCAATAAACCTGAAAGAACACTCCCTTCTTGCTTAAGATCTTCAAAGGTACCAGACTCAACGATCGAGCCTTTCTGCATGACTACGATATAGCTAACCTCATTGAGCACCGAAAGGTTATGAGTAACCAAGATTCTTGTTGTTTCCTTCAGTATTCCTCGTGGTCCGATAAGGTCCTCAAAAAGGGAAGCGCCGACGTGGGCGTCGACTGCGCTTAGCGGATCGTCAAAAAGATAAAGGTCTTTCCTCTGGAAGGCTGCTCTTGCTAGACTCACCCTCTGTTTCTGACCACCGCTTAAGTTGATTCCTTTTTCTCCGATTTCCGTTAAGCCTCCACCGGGAAGAATATCCAAGTCTTTCTCGAGGCAACACACCTTCAGTATCATTTCGTACAGTTCGTCGTCGTACGCACTCGTAAAGAGAATATTTTCTCGTATGGTTTTGTTTTGAATCCACGGACATTGAGGAGCGTACGCTATACTTTCGATGCAATCAACAGTTCCTGAGCAAACCCGGAGGTTCCCCAACAATGCAGAAAGCAAGCAGGACTTGCCAGAACCTACGGGCCCAACAACTGCGATCAATTGACCGGTCTTGACGGTCAGGGTAATATTGTTCAACACCGGAGTTTCGTCCTTCGACCAAGAAAGTGTTGCGTTTTTCACCGAGACTACGTCGCCTACATTCAGTTGGTGACCAAATGAACAGTTCTCTACTTCAGAAGATAGCAAAAACTTTCGAATTCTCAGCATTGAAACGCTCGTCTGAACCGCATTCGAAATAAAGTCTGGAATTATAAATATGGGGAACTGCATTAGGTTGAATAGGGTCAAAGAAACAAAGGCGGTCGTGGAGTCCAGAATGTTATCGTCGCTGATTTCCAGATAAGTCACAAAGCTGACAAGAGCAACTATAGAAGACGAACACTTAAGAATACAGAAACTAAAAGCATTTAGGTACGAATATTTCTTGAGCAGACCCATCTCATCTAATCGCAAAGAAGTGCACTTGTCAATGAATAGCTTTTCCCAGGCGAAAAACTTGAGAACTTTCACGCTTGACAACATCTCTGCCACAGTTTTGAGCCTCTTGTCTTTCAGTCTCATTTGTTTAGTCTGGTACTTGTTGCCGAGGCTGACCGCTAGTGCCATCAAAGGCATTATGACGAGTATGGCAGCAACGCCGGCGAGGCACGCTCCTCCAAGATACTGCCACAGAAGGACGACTGAGATAATGATCAGCGGCACTCCACCCGCCACATAGCCAGCAGTTATACTAAGTCTGAAGATCCGATCAGCGTCAACGGAAATCAACGTGATCAGCTCCCCGATTCCGTAGCATCTCTGCGACTCGCTAGAAAGCCGGAGTATCTTTCTATAAATGGCCGCCACCATGACAGTCTTCACATTTAGCCCCGTAACGCTTAGTGTTCGGTCTATGTGAACAGCAAGCAGGCTGGAACCAAAGTTCGCGCTTACTATACCGAGGGCGTACGCAATTCCTATCCAAGTAGGATCGTTTCCCACCATGTAGCTTATCAGAAAATGTAACAATGGAGCTGGGACGATCTTCACCACAGCTCGTAATGTGGCAAGGAGGCACGAAAACACCACAGGCTTCCAGTACACTTTCCAGAGTGACCTGAGCATTGAAGGTGGCGCCCCAGAAATGCATGATCCATCTCCTGGCATGTATCCAGCTGAACTCAGTTCCTTGCTCCAAAGTTCACTCCACGTACTATGACTTGGTTTGGTTTTCATGTCCGGTGGTATGTCGTATATAACTTCAAGCTGGAGAGGGCGCCGCGATTTTTTGAGGTGAAAACCATGCGAATAGAAGCGAGGATACAGGTGGTGCGGTGAGGTATGGTCTTTTCACGTCTTGCTTCGCGTCGGTCCAACAGGACAGCAGCAATTGCAAGCAAACCAATATATAACATGAAGCAACCACAGCCATTTCGAATTCCGAAACATCAGGCAAGTCACGGTCCGACGCGAAGACTTCCCACATGTAGCGGAAGAACTCGGGCAGCCTGCAGACAACCGCCGCCAACCAGAAGAAAAACAGCAACATCGAAGATCCTATTCCCTTCTTTCGATTCTTCTCTTGAACTTTCAGCGTAAGGGCAAAGGTGACGGTATGTACAAGGTCTGCCGTCACCGATGACACAGAGGATGCTCCAGTAGCAAGCTTGTACGCGAGCGAGATGGCGTGAGTGAGGGTCAACAGAAGGCTTGCAACGAATCTGAACAGACCGAGCGTTGTCCAGGAGAGTGCTTTTCCGTAGAAATGCTGCGTATTCCGTAGTCCCACGGGCCACGAAATGAAGCCAAACAGCACAAGGACAGCCAGCGGAATGTAGGCAAGGACTGTAGTCTCGAAGCATGAGGTCAGCCTTGGGTATTCCGAGTACCACGTGTAATTCAGGTGCCACAAAGGCGAGTTGCAGAAAGGGAGCATCACTCACTTTTTTGTTGTGCAGTAGTTGAGGACGAGTTAACACTTCATGGTGATCACACTTCATTCGTACGAAGTCATAGCGGGGAGTGTGAGCTCTGCGGCACCATCAAAACTGTGGATGTAAACTACACAAGCAGTGAGATGCAGAAATACAAAAACAATTTCTTCCAAAGGGCAACGTCCTATTCAACCCCGGAAGCATTTTTAGGAATGAGCGGCTGCGGGAGCAGCTGTCGGAACGTTCGCTCTACATTTCCCACTGGAGTTGAGTATCATGTTCTTCGGTAACATCGTTTAAACTACGTCGAGTTTGTACCTTTATGCTTTATTTCAAGTAGTAATTAAATGCTTAAAATTAGTATAGGCCTTCTTTTTCGAGATACGAAAGCGAATCACACGTTTGGATGTTTAGAGAGTGAGAGGTTGATCCGCCCTTGAGACATGGCATAGCGATTTGCCGGTTCATATTCGACTGGCATGGTGGGGCTTTTAAGGTCCATCAGACACAAGTAATTAAGCCTTTTCCAAAGGGCGCGCCATCTAGTAGCGGCTATGCCAATTATTCGATTATGTCATTGCTTTGGACACGTGCTCAGAGCAAGCATTGGACACAAGGGTTGCGTCATCGTTTGGCGTGAACTCGGCTCAACTGGTATTGAAAACGAGTGGGACGTCAGCATTCGGTGAGGACACGGATCCAATCACTCGCTACGCGTCCAAGCAATGACGACCACCAGTGTTGCTTGATGGACTTTCTTAAAGTGGTCTATTACACGGCCGCACGCTGGTACGAAGTCCATCGATATCGAGACCGGCGGGAGCACAGATTCCTGTGCTCTCGCCGTCTATATCGCACGAGATTCCTGGGCCGTATGAGCGTTTCCACAAGGATGTTCCGGACGTGTTGCGAATTGTTCGTTTTCGTAGCGCTGTAGACTTGTCAGATATATCGGTAGTTATCTTCTTAGGTTTGGGGCTTCGTCGCAAAAACGTGTGGCAGACGCTGCAGTATGTCGCGTAGCAAGAAGCATGTGCTGTCCACCCGCTAGAACGGCTGGAGGACAGTACACAAACAGTGAAGAAAGGGATCAATATACAACTTCACGTTCTTTACGGAGAAACCATCGGCAGCCAGTGACCGTAGATCCCGTTCTTAGCTATCCGGCGTAAAGCGACCAGAGTGTCGTTTTGACTTAAAGCTTGGAGTCTGCGGCCTTCCCGAGTCTATCCAGGGAACGGCATCAACAAGTGTCTTCAACTTCGTTTTTTTAGAGCACAGCTCTCAGGCGCCCGTTTCCGGCTTGAGCGGCATCGCCATTGGCGTCGGCGTCGGCGTAACCGCGCGGAGCATTATGGGAAGCGTCCCATAGTGAACCGCGCCGAAAACATCTTGCGACGTCTGGGCATCGTGAAGTTTCGGTGGAAGTCACACTCTCAGAAAAAGAGGTGTATTATTACACCCCTTGTCCCAAATAATACACCCCAAAACTTCAATTCAACGTACAGCGCCCCATAATCGAACAGGCGGCCCCAAAGTTTACAAGGGGCTTGATAGCCGTGTGGCACAACTTATTAAGATAGCTGATGTACGTATTATTGACTACAAAAAAATATTATCGGAGTTTTCTTGACAGTACTGCAAAAGCTCCGTGCTTTCTTTCTTTGCTCTTTAATACGTACTTTAGCAATTTAACAAGTTATATCGCACCGTTATCAAGCCCCTGGTAAACCTTGGTGCCGTCTTTTTGACTATAGGGCGCTGTACGTCGAAATGAAGGTTTCGGGTGTATTACACCTTTTTACAGCTTTTTTTCTTGAGAGTGCACGTGCCGAAACGCCACCGTGACTTCCACCGAAACGTCACGGTGCCGGAACGTCACCCGCGACGTTTCGGCACGGTGCCGAAACGTTGCGTGACTTCGCCGAAGTCGCGTGCGACGCGCGTTTTGCGCGTGAAAGAAGGAGGAGGGGAGGAGTAGAGGGTAGAGATGAGGAGGAGCATATACCCTCCCCCCCTCGTTTTCAAGAGCTGCGCTCGAAATCGGCGTTACAAAAAGCTGTAAACGTATTTCATTATTTTTTGGTGGTAAATTTGCGGAAACGCATATTTAAATTGCAACGCATATTTCTTTTTCTTTTTTTTTGGGGGGGGGGGGGGGTTGAGGGGGGTGGGGCTGCATTACAAGTCATGCTCGACATCGCAAAATAAGGTTAGTGTCTCACGACACGCACCAGAGAACTACGAATTGTTCAAAACCCCGCTATTCGGACTCTTGTGCGGAATATCTCAGGATAATTTTCAGACTTACGCACAAAAACATTCGCAACAACTAAAAAAAAAAATTGAGAAAAGAAAAGGGGGTTAGAAACATTAATCGTTGATCGAGACATTAGGAAAAATCATGGAAAGAGAAAAGACTGCAGGAAGATAACGTCATAGCGCAGCGCGTTGCGCAGTGTTGCTTCATCAATAGGGAGTTTTCGTAGATGGTTTTCGCCGTCCCGCAAGGCCCTCTGCAACCCGCTACGATAGCGGAAACTTCACAGTCAAGGCTATCGGCGCGCAGGCGCCGATAGCCTTGACTGTGCAGGCGCAGTAGCAACGTCTTCGTTGCGGAGCGCTTAGCGGAGGGGGCAGCGCGGTCTACGAAGACTCCCTAATAGCTATACCCGTTCGCGGCCAGCTAAAGCGCAGGTATTTACATTACTCTATGTGTTTTGGTAGATATTGCGGCGTCCCATGTAGTACGCAATATTTCGGCTGTCGTCATATTTTTTTCCAAATAAAGAAACATGAGAGATTGGTTTAAATTTGACATTCGAGGCGGAGTTGCCCTTTAATTGCATGGCCATACGCGACATCAAAAAGCGTGTTGCACTACCGTATACGACATAGCCCAATCTTCGAGTGTGCCAAGTTGTACACGTGCGATTGCGTCCACAAAAGCTGCTTAGATAACAAAAAAATAATGCAAAATATTGCCGCGTGCATGACCGCAAGAAAAAAAAAACGCTTCTTCGTGCATCTAGAAGTTTCATGTTTGTTCTTACACTGAGCGTAAAAGATAATGGGGCCAAAATGACCATACCTTGTCAGTCTCGCCCTAGCTAACTCTCGGGCATTATACGTTGAACGTTTGAGATTACCAGCGCAGTATTGCCGATTCATTCACTGACTGACTCTCGCGCAAGTCAGCTGTGACGCCGACGCACCGTCGCTCGCCGCTGCCACCGTCGACGTTCGACGCTGGTTTCTCGAGCTCGTCCTTTCTTTGGCTTCTGGCAAAAGTTCGACAATTAAACCTTTATTTTCAGTTTCCGCTCGTCCAGCATTTTCCATCCGCGACAATATCAGCAATAGTTTTTATTCATCAATCCAGGAGAACACAAAAGAGTATAAATAATAATAATATAAATCATTATTTCGATGTAACCTTTGACAACACTAAGCCTAAAAAGTGGTATATTGTCATAGGAATTGAGAAAAAAACACGTACAAAACAGAAAAAAGAAACAAGCAAAGTCACAATCACGAACACCCACGTGGCTCGACTCCTCGTCGAAAAGTGTTTGCCACAAAATATATATATTGGAGTTTTGATTATGGCGCAATTAAATGCACCGGGTGCAAGCGAGCTGGACAAGAATGACCAAAAATAATCCCTAGAGAAGGAGAACAAGAGGGACAAAGGACGAACACAAATATCCAAACGCGGCTAGGTAACTGGTGCGCGACTGAAAAAATCCTCCTGGTCTGGGTATTGAACCCAGGATCTCTCCACTTCCAGTGGAGCGCTCTAATAACTGAGCTAACCAGTTTTTTTTTTTATTTATTCAGGAATACAGACACATACATACATGTATTTACACATTATTTACACTTTGAAAATGAGGAAACCCAGTGCTTATGTGTGGATGGTGATTAAAATTCTTTCAGGCGTGTGAGGCTATCAAACACTCCAATCCACTCAGGCGGGTATTCGCCCTGTTCGTAAGCACTCTGTACCTGTACAACATAATCAATAAAAAAAATAGGCGCTGACCGGGGGGATTGCTCTGCGTGTCTCACTGTCATCCGCGACTTCCACAAGCTAAACAATCTAAGAACCATAATCATGTCAAGCGGAAGGTTCTCGTTTGCCCCGATTGGTAGGAAACGAATAGAATGCGGTGTTAAGCACAGGTCTTTTTTTAAAGTTCGTTGCAGGATATCCCCCAAGAAACACTGCGTCCCAGCAGTACAGAAACCTATGGTCGATAGTTTTGGGGGGCTTTGCACAGTAGATAGTTAACACCCCCTGGGACGATCATGCCTCGTTTGTTCATCCAAAGCTTGTCAGGCAGGGTGTCACTATGTACTCGGAAGAAAAAGGTGTTGACTGACGGAGGAATACACATTTTTTTTCACACGAACTGGGACGTATTGCCCTGGTTCACCCGCATAAAGAGATCTGTACAGCGGTGCCGGAAACAAATTATCGATAAGGTCGCGGTACATTTTTTTGCGCGAAACATTGGATAAATATTCGAGCGAGTACCTCACTGTCAGAAATTAAAAAGAATCAACCACCTCTTTTACGAAGCCCACTAATTTAGCAGGAGGGCCAATGTGGGAAGACACAAAAAAAAAGAAGGAATGTGTTCGACCAGCCTTGTTTGAAGCATCACTTGTATAAGCGGATTAGTCTGGTCTCGTAGTAAAAGGAAACGCGAGACAACCTGACGGAGAAACAGATGAGGCAGTCCGAGAACGCTCTTGGATATGCGTCGAAAGGGACTGTCTCTTCGCATTGGCTCTCCTGCGCTCTTCCATACAAACAATCCAAAAACTCGGTGAATTTTTTGTATATTCAATCGCGAACAGTTCAAAACTTGAAGCAGAAACCACACTTTTGCAGTCAAGAACATATTTCACACTATGGACCTCGTAAAGATGAACATGTCACGTGACTTCCATTTTGCTGTGCGATCTTTCAATTCGGCCGTAACATTATGCCAGTAAGTTGAAGGTTGTTTTAAGTGCTGAAAGGGAGCACCGAGGTACCTGCCAGGTGTACAACTCCACTGAACATCTTTAAACTGGCGGGGCGTGGTGGCCCGCTCGCCATGCCATAAGCCGTTACATTTGTTCATGTTAATCACAGCACCAGTAGCGTCACAAAATGTTCTGCACAAATTTAAAGCATGCCCCGACGCTTTTCTTATCTGCACAAAAAACCGCTACATCGTCCGCGTACGCGAGGACTTTTACTTGTATTTCCCATGGCGTGCCCACGTACTAGTTCACTCTGCAATATACTTAGGCACAAAGGCTCCAGGTAGAAGGCAAACATGAGTGGAGACAAGGTGCAGCCCTGCCGCACTGAAGACAACACTCGTATTTTGGGTGTTAAAACATTGTTCACCACAAGTTTCGTCGTACATCCACTATACGCCATTCTTACCCCCTCTAGTATTATCTTTCCCCACAATAGCGTGAGCTAACATTTTCCAAAGAATATCGTGACGTACGCGGTCAAATGCATTGTCTAGATCGATCTGAATAACTGCAACTTGGTTCCCTTCCGACTTACAGAAGTTGAGAATAGTACGGGTTACATGAATGTTACTTTCAATGGTCCTTCCTTTGAAGCCGCATGTTTGGTGTGTTCCAACCAATTTATAAATAACGCTTTGAAGTCTTTCAGTTAAAATCCTCGCATATATTTTATAATCCACGTTGCAGAGTGTGATCGGGCGGTATCCGCTAACGTGCTTTCGCTACTCAACGTCGTCCGTCTTGGGAATCAGTACTGTGTGCGCTTGAAGAAAGGAAGGTGGCAACGTTTTATTCTCGAAAGCTTCACGAATTACCTCGAGCAGAAAAGGACGGAAATAATTTTTAAATTTCTTTTAAAACTCTCCGCTGAGTCCGTCCGGTCCCGGCATTTTGTGCATAGGCAAAATATCAATCGCGCGCTCTACCTCACCTACTGTGATTGGTCCTTCCAGCCATTCTTTTTATTCTAGCGATAATTTCGGCGCGTTACGAAGCAAGTAATCGAGGGCAACTTGGCTTTTTGGCTCTTTATCGCCCCCGAAGAGGCTCTCATAATGCCTCAAAAAGGTGTCCTGAATTACAGCCTTGCCATTGCTGATAACTCCTTCGTGTTCAATGGCTAAAATTTCCTTCGCAAGCGCAAACTTTTTTTCCTCGCCCAAAGCGCGCCTTGTGGGCTGTTCCCCTACAAGAAACTTCTCAGATCGCGAACGTATAACCGCTCCACGATAACGTTCCTGCTGGAAACTGTCTAGCTTGGCTTTAATCGGCTTTAATTCTGCGGCGCATGACCCCGGGTGCTCGCTTTCGCTTCGCAGTAGCTCGAGCCAGTATCCGTGTAGCTCTTCTTCCTCTTTCTTAGCCAAAAAAATTAATCTGAGAGGATCTTTCAATTGCGAGTCTTTAACTTCTTGTTTAAAGTATTCCCATTGCTCTAAAAGGCTGAGCTGTGTCCTCGCTGATAATGTTTCTAAGGCCTGTGTCACACGCTCGACGAAAATATCATCTTTGAGCAGTTTAACATTAATTTTCCCCAGTTTCCAATCTAACATCTTTCTAGGTTGCGTGGTGCTTCCCAAAGTAACTGTCACTAAGCTGTGGTCACTAAAAAATACTGGCTTCACATTGTAGTCGGTTACCTCACTGACAGCTTCAACTGACACATAAATGCGGTCCAAACGAGTGTGAGATGATGACTGAAAGTGAGTATAACGAAAATTAACCTTCGAACCCATGAGTTACCCGACATCTTCTAAGCTGCCACACGTTTAATATATTCTTCAAACCTTTCACGCTCCCATCTGTGTGCAGTCTGGGCGGCGTACATCAGGCGCGATGACAAAGCGACAGCCGACCACGGATGAGGTGTTCGTCTTCCTCTCTGACAATGGTGACCCCGCACGAGCCGAGACTGATGCAAATACACCCTGCACCACGGCAACGTAACGGCCAACAACGGATTTGGTGTTTAAACAAAGAACTAGTGTCAAGCATGTGCCCGCGAGGGAACACCCCACTATGTGTTTTATATTTCTATTTCTTTTTTTTTCTTTTGTCATCTTTATGGGGATCTTGACGATGTTCTTCCTTCTCTTCATCTTAGTAAATATAGTTGTGAGTAGCGCTCTTTCTTGTCTCTTCTCTCTACTCCATACGTGTGCGCAAATACCGTTCAAATGTTTAATTACCAACTAGCCCAGTTATCAACCCTTTTACAGTGTAATTTAGCTACATTTTAGCCTGAATAATTAAGAAAGAATATTTACAATAGCGACTGCTTTGTTATTATCCTGTTACGCCCTGGTGCTTAGTTCATAAAATCATTGACAGGTGAAAATAAATATAGGGTCTACATTATTGCCCTTCTGCCAGCGCGTGGGGCTTGGAAAGTGCAATGGCTGCGGCAGTGCGGTGACCGTCAGCGCACGCGTAAAACTACTGACTCGTATCGAACTCAAAACACAGCTCCCATATCATACGACTAATACAATCAGTGGAACAAAGACACAGCGTCTGATGAATGGCAAATGATATACTATTCTCTGTCCTGAACGGTCAAATATTGAGTGCACAAAAATATTTCGGAGCGTAAAAATGCTATCACTCCAACAATTTAATACATTACTTTTTGTGCGAATAACGACAGTTGCAATTTAGCTACTTTTAGAGTAGCGTAGATAGATTTCATTTCCGATTGTAATCTGCCCAGGTATGACTCAGTCTGTCGAGAATCAAGAGCTGACGACAAGCGCTTATGGATGCGCAATCGCCGCTTTGTGATTGCGCACACAACGGATTCAGGTGATAAGGTTCAACGTGGCCTACCCATCATAATGTACTTGCGAGGTATTTATCTTCCTCGGATCATATGACCAGAGATAATTTAGTGTGACGCACGTGCCATGCTATCCATTGTTTGACAAGTTCTCCTTTTAAACTATCAGCGGGTAAGATAATCGACCAACACTGGTGGAATGCATTCTTCATAAAACGGGGCAGTGCTTATTTTTTTAGGGGGAGGGGATTATGCGGTAAAAGATGATAGAAGATTTTTTTTTTTTTTCAAATACACTAGTGAGTAGCGCGCGCGTGTCTTCCCTCTTGTGTTCGTCCTTTTAGCGTTTCTAACCATGGTTCAAAATGCCAGAAGTTGGGGGCGAAATCGTTCGTTCAAAGTTGAAATGTAGAAAACCACTCTTTACGCAATATGTCCCCGGTCCATACATTTACAAACATCGATCCTTCTTCATATAGCTAAACCTGGTAAACTAATATAATTACAACAACTTGCATTCACAGTTACAATATCGAGGGTGCATGTTGTGCACATGCGATTTCAGCAAAAAAAAAATCCGCACTGATAAACAAACACCCTGAGATATGATTTTTATTCACGAATTAGTTGAAATGTTTAATGATCCAAAAGAGTACAATACCTAACTGTTTCGATTGAAAAAAAAAACACCAGCAAGGTTTGTTTAATTGCACTCAAATATCACGCCTATTTGAAATGCTTAAAAGACAGTCGGTCTCGGTTACATGTTGACGCCGGGAAATACAACTCCTGCTTCACGAGCCATAGCATAGAACAATGACGTCGAATCATACAAAAGTTCTGTCGGACTACCCACTTCAACAACTTTTCCTTGCTCCATCACAACAACCCGATCTGCCGTGAGAACTGTGTGAAGCCGGTGAGCAACAGTTAGAACAGTACACTCGCTCATCACGTCTCTCAATGTCTGCTGAACAAGCACGTCTGTCTTCATGTCCACTGACGCAGTAGCTTCGTCCAGGACAAGTATCTTTGTCTTTCTCAACACAGCCCTCGCGAGACAGACCAGCTGCCTCTGTCCCACACTGAGATTGAGTCCACCTTCTGCGACTTCGAAGTCTAGACCACCACTTTTCCTGAAGACGTCCCCGAGGTGAGATCTGTCCAGTGCCGACCAGAGTTCTTCAGCTTCATGCTGCCCGGCAGGGTCAAGGTTAAACCGTAGAGTGCCGTGGAATAAAACCGGGTCCTGTGGTATAATGGTTATCCTGGAACGTAGGTCATGTAGCCCTAAGGTCGCAATGTCCACGTCATCCACTACAATCTTGCCTGACGCTGCCTCTACAATACGGAAAAGGCTTAAGGTAATGGTTGATTTTCCTGCACCCGTTCGCCCTACAATTCCTATTTTCTCACCGGGGCCAACGTCAAGGTCAACGTCCCTCAGAACCAGATCGAGGCCTTCCCGGTATCGTGTCGAATAAGATTTGAAGGACACGGCACCCGACTCGGGCCAGCGCGGGTCTGGACTGCAATTTGACCTCCATGGAGCTTCGGGAGTAAGACGTCTGTACTCATCTAGTCGTTCGGCTGATACCAAGGTTGCTTCTAGTTCCGTTGAGTAAAATATAAGGTAGTTGAACGGGGAGATAGCATTCAGCATGTAGGATACTAGAAGGGCCGCTATTCCGGGATCAATATTGTCGCGGTTGGTGACGAGGAGGAGGAGCATCGAGAGCAGAAGCACTTCACTGGACACCTCCATCCAGGCTTCTATCCAGAAATCAAAATTAAGTGCGTTCACAGTACAGTTCTGCATGGTGTCCACCTTTTCGTCGTTGTCGCGAAGGAAGATCCGCTGAACTCTGTAGCCCCTGACGCTGCTCAAGCCAGTCATGGTTTCCGAAAAGTGATGGTTGACAGGAGAACGGGTGACCGTTTCTAGTCTTTTAACTTGACGGAATGGAACTACGTACATCTGGCGTAAGACCAGCAAGAATACAACAACCGGGATGACAATTAAAATGTATACGGGAAGATTAATACATATGAGCACAACGGATGAGGCAAAAAGCAACAAAAAGTCTAGAGTGAAATGTGCTGCTGTCGGAAGCTGGACATCTAGCTGTTCAACGTCCTTGCCGAAACGGTTCAATAAGCGCCCGGAGGGAGTGGAGTCAAAAAATGACAAAGGCGCCCTCATAACACTGTCAAGCATCAGCTGGTGAAGCGTTGTGGAGGCTGAGAGCGCTACCTTCCACAACGTTGCAACTGCAAAAAAATTTGCAACCGCCGTGCATACACAGAGGAGAATGTAAATCTCGATTCTAAAAGTACGCAGAGACATGTCCTGGAAGCCGCTTGGAAGCAGCGAATCTTTTGTCCATTCACTCAACCAGATGCCCATGTATGCGCCGACTGCTCTGTAAACCGCATAAAATAAAACGACCAATAGCAGCAAAGGTCCAGCGTGTTTTATGTAGGTTCCGTATACCTGGAGACTGATTGAACCTTCCTCCACAATCTCCCTCTCCACAAGGATCGTTCCCAGCTCCTCTTCCTCTACTTCCGACTCCTCGTTCGAATCTGTAGATGTTTCCTCATTTTCTGTCAATCTCCGAACCCTCTTGGAAAAGCTCTTCAGCAACCCTGAGAGGACACTTCCTTCGCGTTGAAGATCTTCAAAGGTACCAGACTCAACAATCGATCCTTCCTGCATGACGAGAATGTAATCTACTTCACTGAGCACCGAAAGGTTATGGGTAACTAAGATTCTTGTTGTGTCTTTCAGCATTCCTCGTGGTCCGATAAGGTCCTTGAAAAGGGCAGCGCCTACATGAGCATCAACTGCACTCAGCGGATCATCAAAAAGATACAGGTCTTTCTTCTGGTAAGCCGCTCTTGCAAGACTAACTCTCTGCTTTTGGCCGCCGCTTAAGTTTATCCCCCTTTCGCCGATTTCTGTCATGTCTCCCCCTGCAAGGATTTCTAAGTCTCTCTCAAGGCAACACGCTTTCAGAACCATGTCGTACAGTTCGAAATCGTACGCACTCGTAAAGAGCACATTTTCTCGTATGGTTTTGTTCTGAATCCATGCACACTGGGGAGCATACGCTATACTTTCAATGCAATCTATGGTTCCTGAGCAAACTCGGAGGTTTCCCAACAATGCAGAAAGCAGAGACGACTTGCCAGATCCCACGGGCCCAACGATAGCGATCAGCTGGCCTCTCTTAATGGAGAGGTTAATGTTTCTCAGGGCCGGGGATCTCTCCTTTGACCAGGAAAGCGTTGCATTTTTTACTGAAACGGCCTCACCATCATCTGGACGTCGACCCACTGAACAGTCGTCTATCTCTGAAGACAGCAGAAACCTCCGAATCCTCTTCATGGAAACATTAGTTTGAACCGCATTTGAAACGAAGTCTGGAATAATAAACATAGGGAACTGCATCTGATTAAACAGGGTCAAAGATACGAAAGCGGTCGTAGCGTCGAGCACGTGATCGCCACTGATCAAAACGTATGTGACAAAGCTAACAAGGGCAACCATGGAAGACGAACAGGTAAGAATGAAGAAACTAAGAGCGGTCAGGTAGGAATACTTTTTTAACAGGCCCATCTCCTCTACGCGTACGGATGAGCATTTGTCCATAAAAAGATTTTCCCAAGCAAACAACTTAAGGACCTTCACGCTGCTCAACATCTCTGCCATCGTATTAAGCCTCTTGTCTTTGAGCTTCATTTGAGCCGTCTGGTACTTGTTCCCGATGCTAACCGCTATGGCCACTACAGGCATTATAACGAGCATAACAACAACGCCGGCGAGGCAAGCCACTCCAAGGTACTGCCACAATATTATTAACGTAATAATTATCAGCGGCACTCCACTGGCGACATAGCCAAAAGTAATACTAAGTTTGAAGATCCGATCGGCATCAACGGAAATCAAGTTGATCAGCTCCCCGATTGTGTAGACTTTCTGGGACTCGCTAGAAAGCCGAAGTGTCTTTCTATAAATTGCTGCCACCATGACAGTCTTCGCATTTAGCCCAGTAAATGACAGTATCCTGTCGATGTGGACAGCAAGAATGCCCGAACAAAAGTTGGCGCTTACTATCCCGACGGCATACAAAACTCCTTTCCATGTAGGATCGCTCTTGGCCATGTAATCTGTCACGAGATGCAATAGAAGAGCTGGAATTACTCTTAGCACAGCTCGTAGTGTGGCAAGAATGCACGACATCACTACAGGTTTCCAATACGCCTTCCATAGTGAATGGAATATTGAAGGCATCACTCGAGAGACACCATATGATCCCTCCCCAGGTACGTATCCAGCTGAATTCAGTTCGTGGCTCCAAAGCTCACTCCACTTACTATGGTTTCGCCGCGTCGTCATGGCCGGTGGTATGCTGTAAATATCCTCAAGCTCAACACTGTTTCGTGCTCTTCTGAAGATAAAGGGTGACAACCATCCCATGAAAATGAAGGACACGGGCGCAGCGGTGAGGTAAGGTCTTCTCGTGTCTTGTCTGGCGTCTGTCCAGCACGACAGGAAGAGCTGGACGAGTATCATTGGATAACTTGTAGCGCATACAGCGAACTCGATTTTCGAGACGTCGGTCAAGTCACTGTCCGATGCGAAGACTTCTTGCAGATGACGGGAGTACTTGGGAAGCTGGCAGACTACAGTCATCAACCAGAAGAAGAATAGCACCATCGAGGATCCTTGTCCATTTTGTCGAGTGTTCTGCTGAACTTTCAAGGCGATGGCGAAGGTAACAGCGTGTACAAGGTCTGCCGTCACCGATGACCCGGATGATGAATCAAACGCCAGCTTGTAGACGAGCGAGTAGCCGTAGGTGAGGGTCAACAAAAGGCTCACGACGAATCTGGAAAGGCTCAGCAAAGTCCAGGAGAGTGGTTCGCCGTTGAGAGATTGCTTTTTCCGGCGTCCCACAAGCCAAGGGAGCAGACCAAACAGCACCAGAAAGATCCCGGGCGTGTAGGCGAGGACTGTATTCTCGAAGCATGGCGTAAGCCTTGGATATTCGGAGTACCACGTATAGTCCCAGTCCCAAAATGGCGAAGCGCAGAAAGAGGTCATCACCGATGCCACTGTTCGTGCAACTAGAGCACGTTTTCAAAGGACCTCTCTGAGCGACACCCATGAAAGAGGCGAACGCGATAGGTTTAATCGCCTCTATTTTTTGATAACGCCGCTGGTTCCCTTTCTCATCTACACGCCTCATACTGCCGCGAACCTAATCAGGCGACAGCAGATTTCAGACTTTTTGTACTTAACGTTGTACGGCCGCTAGATGCTGCTGGATTGTGGACTATATCAGCCATTGCCTTTCTGCAGGCAGCGCACAGCTGATATTCATTGGTAGAAAACGTTTTTCTGAACGATCAGCGAGGAAGATAAACTGTGATATGTTCAATGAAGCATTTTGTATGCGATATTCCTTTGTACCGGACTCCGGCAAAAGCAACCAACATCGTAGATTGATTCCTCCCGTAAGGGAAGGAGTAATTGGAAAATATTGTCAGGGTTTATATTCTCCGTTTTGGGCTACAACGCGAATTTCTTTTCTGAGTGTTTAATCAATGGTTATGTGTTCCTCAGACTTTCACAGTCACATCCTGCGCGCCACGACGGAACTGGAAACAAGGGTGAAATCTTCTACAGGTCATCAAATGAGTGGTGTTCATACCTCAATAATTTACTAATTCAGTGTTTTATTTAGTTATCGGTGATGCCTTACTAATTCAGACAACTGTTTGAACAAATGTAACTAGTCAAGTAGAAATTGAGGCATCGAGACGCGGACAACATAATGGAGGTTGGCAAAGATAATAACTGCAAGGCAACAAAAAAATTATGGAGTCAAAGAAGGCTGGCTACTACTCTGGGGGTTGAATGTGTTTTCATAGCATGGCACATATTTTTGTCAAACATATTTCCACCAAATTCAACTGTCGTTCTCTCTCGTGAAAATAAAATATCTCACCATAGAATAACAAAAAAATCACGGGGTGGATTTGAAGTCCGAGGCAGGAACTTGAAAAGAAACGTAGTCTGTCACCTTGCGTCTTTCATGGGCTCTAAACTCGCCAAACACGAAGTTGGAGACTCGAAAGTTGGCAGAGCTCGGCGAGTGGACCTCCAAATTTGTTGCGTCATCGTCACTCGGATCCAATCGGCTCGCTCCGTCAACTTCGGCGCAAACTTTGCGTTAGATGAGTCTTGAGCCCCAGGGGTCGTTCCTCTCAAGTTTCTACACAGCAGATAGCACAGTAAGAGATTTTGACCTTGCATGCGCTTTCAATGGCGTCCGAGTTGTTGTGGGCCTTGTGGCATGAATATGACAGCACATTCGAGTACGGAAGCCGACAGAAGATAACAGAAAGAAGTCAACATTTCACGCTAGCTTGAGTAACATAGACGGCGAAGTGGCGGGTGCGGTATCAGGATGTTGCTTGCCGCAAAGAGATAACACGGCCACAAGGCCTCGTGGGCGGCAGTGGGAGGGTTTTATCACAGAAAATGCGTCTTTCCGCTTCAATTACTTTTTTTTTTAAAGATTGGCCCAAATAGATCAGTAGATTCCCGCCTAATACTGTCTTTACCAATTGGTAGCACTGTTGACAGCAAAATGTTTTTGAGACATGACATGCTTTTTCATCGCCCCCCCCCCCCTTCCCCCCCCCCCCCCCCCCTGATCCCAAAAACTTTTTTTGTCCGTCCGTCTACGCAATTTCTGCTAAGTGACATCACGCGATCTACATATCAGTTTCCCTGCTACATTAATCGGAAAAAATTAAAGTCACGTGGCCTGACGTCACGAGACCTATGGCTCAATTCAGTTTCCCCGCTATATTTAGCAGGAAAAGTGACGTAACGTGATCGATTCGCCAATTCAGTTGTCTAGCTTAATTTGGCGGGAAAATCAATATCACCCAACCCGATGTCGCGAGACCTATACTTCCCGATTCAGTTTGTTCCCTAAATTTAGCAGTGAAATTTATGTATAGTGAACTGGTGTCACGTGATCAGTTTTGTTTCCGGAAAATCTAGCAACAAAATTGCTGTCCCTTGGCCTTTGTATCAGATCAGTTTCTCTGCTAAATTTAGCAGGATAATAATTGTGTTCAGCGTATGTTTCGACAGCCGGAAGTTATTCAGCCACAATGGGGCGACTTGTCTCTCAGCTGTGGATGAGAAATTTAGCCAGTGCGGTAAAACTAACAGGGGTGGGGATTGAATCCAAGATTTCAGAGTTGTGCACTACGAGCTTTCGCTCCACGTGCTCCGAGCTGCCGTGTGCTAACGCACTTGGCCACCGATACCCCTCCTTCCCCATGGGCTAAATTTAGCAGGTAAATTCACAAACTTACAAGTTCTTCTTCACTCACCGAAACGACTGGCTAATGCCTTCTAAAAAATTTAAACGATCGCTCCTTAATTAAATACTGCATTGCACGCATTAGTTATAGGACTTCAAAAAGGTAAAGATCACTGACTCGTTGTCAATTTCGGTTGAGTTCTACGTGGTCCCCTTAGATTCTAAAAATAGCGCCTGTGAGTTCACTTTCTGGCAGAACACAGAGACGGCGAATCACGGTGAAGGGCGGAGTTCGCAAAAGGGATCATATTGAAAAATTCTCATGTGCCAACGCCTCCTACAAATGAAAGCCTCAGCCGTTACCAAAGAAGGCCACCACAGACTCGACACGAGTGATCCGTCATGGATCGGCTGGAAATCGTGTGTAGTCAGCGAGAATAAAGAGCGGACGCAGGTATTTCGAGAGGAATGTGGGAGGGGGGGAGGGGGGTTCAGGTGTTGGTCAGAATATCATATGTTAAAGAAGCCCCCCCCCCCCCCCACACACACACACACACACACCTCCGTTTCCACGCTTTAAATTTCACACATGGAGAATTCAAGAGGGAGGTCAGGACTGCTTCTTTGAATTGCGTTGCATATTTTGCTGCTACATGCCAAGTAGAAAACACGAAATCGTTGAGTCTCGTCTTCCTTGCGGTAGAACTTGAACATCTTCGCGCGGTTCCTCCTATGTGTCAAAACGAGATAGAAGGTGCACAATCCAGCGTCGACTACGAGATTTTTCCGAGTGGTCGAGAGCAGCGGACGACAAGAAATCTCGCGCCTTCTCGTCGCAAACGCGACGCCCCGAGAACAAGCGAAAAAGCGGCCGACGCTGGCAGAGATCTATAGATGTAAACACCTCTTGTTTCTCGCCACCGCCGAATTCGCTTCGGCATTAGCGATTTTTTTCTCTAGTATAAACGCACCACTAGTCCGCACGCCGCCGACGCCGCAAGCTATGCGATGATAGAGCACGTGTAGAAACGTGACGAACGCCATGATGTGACGTGAGAATGTGACGCTAGCGGTTGGAATAGAGCGCGAAAGTTTAAGAATGTGACGTTACCTAGACCAAAAACATAATTTAGGAAAAAACACAAAATATCTTTATGAGCCGACGTCCACCTAAGCCTAATTCTTCGAAACAAAAAATGACATTGTGAACGCCCTGTAACATCTAATTGAACGGAGGAAAAAGATTATCTTTTTTGCTGATAAGTATTTTTCACTAATATAAATCCCACAAGCGTCCACAATGTCAGTTCTTGTTTTGGCTATATTAGGCTCAGGTGGACCTCGGCTAATAGAACAATCTTTTTCTCAATTATTATTTGATTCAGGTAACGACATGTTCTCAAACTTTTGCATTATATCCCCAACCTTTAGCGTCACAGTCTCACGGAGTTTGAGCTTTCTGCGATGCATGGTTTATTTACCTGGGTCGAAAAACACGGTTATCTTTTCCTCGGTAACTCCCTGTATATGACTTTCTTATGTGGGACGTGTTGCATGTACACCCTGTCAATCACCATGATATCTCACTTGCACAAACTCCCGGCGTACAACGCGTTTTTTTTTTTAGTTTTTATTACATTTTGAGTTGCTCGTTGGAATTCTTCCATTGTTCGCCGTGATTGACCATCTCTGTGCTCTGCAAAAAAATACACTCGCAGACTTTTTTTTTTTTTTTTAGAATATTTATTACGTCACAACCACTACATGCCCCAGAGGTACTCATCGGGGTTACTTCAATTGTGAACGACATGTTGACTGGTCCGTGTAAAGAGCACCACGAAACTTCGTAGCCGTGACTTTTGCACTCATCGAATGCTCGACACAATCCTCGTCAAAGCTTACCGTCTGACATTACAGTTGTGTCTCGGACACCTCTGTTTCGTCCATAATGTTAGGCGTCCGTAATAACAAGACAAAAGTGCATGTACTTACCAAGTTCTTCTTCGAATTGTTTGTCTATATATATTAATGAGATATGACTATATTTTTCTGGCGAAAAACGCTAAATAAATTTTACTAAAAGCCTCACTGTATGGTCTTGGCCAGTCGTGGAAGGCCGACCTCAAGGACACTTTGGTAGCGGGTTGCAAATAGGAACCAAAAATGAGATCGGCCGTCAGGGGTGTTCTTTATTTAGGTTATCGTATCCCAATATCGTCGGTGTCACCACTTTATGGGTTGACTTTAATCTAGACAGAGGCCATTGCAAAGGTTAGTTTCACACACGTGCAACGGTTGCACAAGCCGGAAAGGAAACAATAGTCGAGGCCGGTTGAGTCATTTACGTCGGTTTTTGTTCACAGCGACTGACACGATACCCGCGACGAGTCACAGACCGCGTTAGTGTAGATTTCAATTATTCTTTTAATAAATATTTCCGAATTACAATCCAGCATCCTGTACATGCAAAGTTAAAACTAAAGATATCAGCGAGTGTACGCGAGCCAGGCATTCGAATCAATGGATTCAGCCGCGTTCATTAATCCAATCATTAACATCGCAGCAAAGAATTTGACTATACGATTAGCTTACCACACACACGCGACTACGCACGCACGCATTTAATAACGGTCTCTTCTTGACAGGTTCACAAACGGCCCAAGGCATTTTTTTTTTTTTTTTTGTGTGTGTGTAATAGACGACGAATATAACCATAGCCTTCTCACTAGTCACAAAGCCTGGCAGTTCGACGACGGAGCCATAAAGTGCCCGGTCGCAAATTTGGAGCGCGAGGATCTGGTAGCACAGAGCATCAAAGAGCCATTTCTCGGGGAACCTGGACGTCAGCGCACAGCTTTTGCAGCGGCGAGGACCCGAAACACACTTCTTCGCTCGGGAGAAGGGTGTTTCGGCGTCTCGCCGCAGCGGGGCGCCAGTCACGTGGCCCTCCATTCATTCGTTGTCTGCC